TACACATTGTACATTATGCTATTGTGCTCACAAACAAATTATAAATTAATTTTATCAGCTTTATAACCTGTTAATTATGACTACACTATAATATTCGTTTTCAGAGCTTTATAAGCTGTTATAATTAAGTTATGGTTTATTATTTGCAATTTAAATTAAAAATAATTACATTATTTCATATATCATACATTAGAATAAGCTGTTGTATTCTTACCATTAGGGTATGAAGCTAAAAATTTTGTTATAAATCAAGTCTAACATGGCAGGCCAAAATATAGTATGATAAGCAAAGGACTAGGTGTTACTTATAAAATATCTTTTAAAACTTGTTTCATAAGTATTGACATTTTATAACATTTGTATTGTTAACATTTTTTATTGTAGATGGTAAGGAATAAACAAATGATTTATTTAGGTATAACCCTAACTGTTGACTATAATAAATATATTCCTATTGCAATAAGTTTATGTTCCAAAAAACGGAAGCCATAGAATATTTGTGATTTGTATACAATGGCTTTAAAGTATAGGCATTAAGAATACAGTAAAACTAAGAACATTAATTTTGATAGCTGAAAGTTTATAAATATGTTTATTGTTGTTTAAATAATTTGCAGTAAAAAAATGCAAATTAAAGCTCAACCTTTTCAGAGCCATACTCAACATTGTAGAGGTTCTATATTTAGAATTGTTAAAATTTGAATGTAATTTTGTATGCAATAAAATTATTTTCAGACTAACTTTGTGAACTTGCAACTGCATAAATGTCTTGGTATAAAAGAAAAAAATTCATTTTCAATGTCAGATTTTTTAATCAATTAGAGCAGTTACAAAATTATCTATTCTGTGACAATATTCCAATTTTAAAGTTTTAATAAGTTAATTTATAAAAACATGAAGGGGCTTAACAAGCTTGTGTGCCAATTTAGTTTTCAGGGAATGTAAATATGTCTTTAAATTTGTATTATTTGCAGAAGTGTATTTTTACAAATATAAGGTATAATAAAAATATTGTATAAAAGTCTTATCTTAAAAGTTAGTTACCTAATTGAGTTTGAACATCTTCAGATCTATCTGTAATACTAAATGAATTATGATTTAACAACATTATAACTAAAATTCATTCGATCATCTATTGAATTGGATTCGAATTGTAAGCAATACATATATTTAAATCATTTAATAAAATTAACTACAACAGATGTAAAAGTCAAAAGGTCCTTGACCTTTACTTTTTCATACGCCTTAAACCAGCAAAGAAAACTTAATTTTTCGCGCATAAGATTGTACCATTGTACTAAAGCAGTCAAGGTGTGCATGTGTAGCGACGAGCAAATTCCCATACGTAGGAGTAGATATTTTTTGTGCCACTTCCGTGCGGTTAATGCGTTATGTAACCAAAGATTCTAGTCTGGACGTAAATAATAAGACATGTATTTTATTTTTCTTTTAACAGAAATCCATAAATTGATGTTCTTAAGTGTTTATTAATTAAAACTATGGGAATTTGCATGCACCAACAGTCACAAAATTTGTGAAAACGGGATTCTCCGAAGTGCTTCAAACATAGAACTTTAAGGTGCAAGTCCGAACTGAACCGCACAGGCCGCAGTTGCAGACTGCAGGCGACACTACTAGTTTCTATGAATCTATGAAATTGATTCCGAGCGCGGCGACATGGCGCGGCTGCACAATGCATATAATGCACGGTCAGCCGCAGGCGGTAAGCCCATTGCGGAATTGTACCTTAATAATAGATGTTGTCTTTAGGTACAAGTACGTCGATTCTGTAACATGCAATCTCACTTACCGAGTTTCGTATTCTGGTAAGGTAGTTTTATAATAAGTTGTGTAGTCAAGCAACCTATAATATTCTCGCATGAAATCCACCAGCAAACTGCTTAGGTTTTTATTTCTTTAACAATAAATAACCCGCAATATAAGTATTAAATGCATTGCGAAAATATGGTAACTTCAATATTCCGGCTACTGCGATCATTTCGAAAATGATTTTGATGTTATTATTTATTACTTTTATTATTATTGCCTAAAATTATTCGAGCTTTTGCTTATTTAAACGTTAATTTTATTAATATTATTATGTCCATAGCGAAAGACGCGTAGATAATTTACCTAGTTAATTTGGAGCAGCGCATCTATATGTATTGATATGACACTCCCATCTCCCATGTAAGGCTTCGACTGGACACATTTTTCAACGAATAAGAAACTAAAGAAAGAAATTTGTATTCTTATTATATCGCCTTTAGGTTTTGGGCAATATGGTAATGAGGGTGTTATTAAAAAAATACATCAAAAGTTGGGCGCCACTGTTACGTGAGCTCTTTTTTAAATGAATTTTTTGGCGCGAACTTTTCTAGCGAACGTTTAAATTGATTACATTAATTATAAAGACATAATTGACACAACACTGCCTCTATACGATGTAGGAGAAATATTTTACAGATTCTTTGTGGGATTGACTGTTTAAAATTTAAAACAACTTTTGGAAAGCTTAATTGATTCCATATTATGCTAAGTGTACTGTAACATTAACGACACAACGAATGTAACTACGACTCACTATTACTTTACTTCTATAAGTAAACTTCTTTTTGGGTGTAAATGGAAAAATCCTATGGAAAAGATGGCACGGAAATACGTCATTCGATTATATAATATGTGTGTGTGTGTGTGTGTGGTTGGGATGCGTGCGCAGCTCTTCCCGACGAGCATTTAAGTTGGAGGATAACTCCGCGAAGGCTGAAACCTACGATCGTCACATCCGACATTATACATATGTATGAGTGATGCATGCGCTGCTCCATTTCCCTGTGCTTTATGCACCGCCCAATGTTAGGTTATTTAAGAAAAGAAGTTTCACTTCAGATGTGTGGTCCGTGCACACTATTTTTTTTTTTCAACCATTTCATTATAGTAATGTTCGTATCTAATGGTTTTATTGTGCTGTATCTATATATACAGGCCAATATAACAGGAGCCCAAGCACAAACTTTTACAGTTCCATAATCGTATCGGATCGTCGAAGTTACTATGAAAACCAAACAGCGCCTCTATCGGACGTAAGATAAAACTGACTCGTTCCATACAAAATTTGACGATGACGATACGATTACAAATCTGTCCAAATTTGTGCTTGAGCTTCAGTAGTCATATCAATTAATTTAGTAGATGCAACAATATTAGGCCGAATGTCTCCCTCTTAGCAAACGATTAGGACTTCATAAATTATGTAGAACAGCCACAGAACAAGTTACCCCAAAAAAAAAAACTGTAAATTTACTCCAATCGCCTTTGATATTTATTTCCCCTGCCATAAGATTCTTAATAATTGCCATAATTAAAGCCATAATTTGACAGCCTGCAGTAACTTGATGTGTGGCTAATCGTACAAATATTACAACAAAATCTTTACAAATTCAAAGTTAAAAAAACGAGCGAACCTTACATTAGTTGCGTAAGATGTGTAACATTTGAAATCTCACCTTATATTAGTAAAAAAAGAAATAAAACCTACTACAAGTCCATTCATCCTTTTGAACATTATGTTTTAAAACCAAATCAAATAGCGGGCGCTTTCGCGACTTCCTGTTACACACTTCCGTCCCATTTCACGAAATCACTCCCACAAATTGCAGGAAAGCGAGAGGAAAGATGTTACACATCAAAAAGATTTTAGGTAACGGAGTTTACTTCACAGGTTGATATGCTCGCGATTCTTATAAGGCACATCGCAGACAACTGACTTTACCGTGTCCAATAAGCCTATTCGATAACTGCATTTGACAGAAGGAAGTATAATCACCGAGCTATTTAGAGTTCCACCGAGATAAGATGGCTTGTTCTGAAAAGCATCGATGGATATGCAATTTTCTAATTAATTTAACACTGTAAATGTCAAAAAAGTCAGCGAATAGGCCGGCAGTTCACGCAATGATAATTATCACTAAAAGCCGCACTGAATATCGCCAATCAAAGTTAATGCTTGTCAAAGTGACATTTTGTCTTACTCCATTTCAATTGCTATTCCAAATATGCGACAGTATGAGAAATTTACAAATTACATTATCATTTATAATTTTTATTTTTTAAGCATGTAACTGCTAGGTCTGCTAGATGTCAAATCCGAAGAAAATTTTACTAGAAAAATATCCATATCCGGGCGAATGCACTGACCATTATGCTACATTACATTTTTATTATTAAATTACATAACAGCGCGGCTGTAAGAAGTTGAACTTAATTGCTTATTACAAAAATCACAAACCTTACTTTTAGGATTAAAAAAAAACACGTACAACGTTGTAATCCTGCACTGGATCGTACAAAGTCGTCTACGATGGGTCTAGACCATAGACACGGAGAATGAACTGAGTCTTCCCTTTTCAACCATAAAGTAAAACTGGGCATAAAAGTGCAAGAGATATAAAGCGATCTTGCGGTCATTACTTATAACAGCACCAGCGCTTTCTCTCCTTCTAGTAGAAGATCCGAACCTTCGACCTTCACCTTTTCTTATTATTTTGATGTTGCAACATTTAATTAAAAATATATAAAGAAAATATAACTAGAAAAAAATCCACGCGGACCAGGCAGCAGACGGGACTCGAACCCGCACCCTTCACAATCCGGGCGAATGCACTGACCAATTATGGGTCGAAATTCTTCTAGCCACTCTTAAGCTGCAAGGCATTTTTTCTAGTTATATTTTCTTTAGATTTAAACATCAAGCAGTTATACATGTTAAAAAAATAAAAATAACTATAATTGCTATTTCTTCTTTTAAATGTTTAATACTTGTAAAAGTATTCATTTGACATTGTGGGTTACCTACAATGCGAAGAGATGGCGCTGCCTTGCAGCTTAAGAATGGCTAGAAGAATTTCGACGCGGCCATCAGGGCCGCGGTAGCATAATTGGTCAGTGCATTCGCCCGGATAGCGAAGGGTGCGGGTTCGAATCCCGTTTGCTGCCTGGTCCGCGTGGATTTTTTTCTAGTTATATTTTCTTTAGATAAAAATATATATTTAAAAATACGCTGTCCAGGATTTTTCAGGCAACCCATTTTTAATATACATTTTCTGATATACTAAATTCATGATAAAATATGTTTAATTTCATTATCAGCTCGGTGAAGGTCGATGTAGGCTCGGATCTTAGACCATTCTAAGAGTAATCAATATCTCAGTACATTCTCATTGCCTATAATCCGAAGAAGCACATTATTACATCCTAGATAGTGAGATTGCCTTTAGCTGTCTACGAAATTGCTTTCTCCACTGAAAGTGCATCCCGAATGTTGAATGATATGCGTGGCAGTATATATTCCGCACTTGACGCACGTCTTGTAAGGCGCCCCTAGTACCATTTGGGCTAGGAAACCGCCCGCAAAAGCATCGCCAGCGCCATTTGTGTCCACAATTTGCTCCCGAGCTAACACACTGACTGGTATAAGGGATATTTCCCCGTTCTCCACTAATATGACAGGGTCGCAACCCTGCGTTATAACGACCACTCGACGCCTACTCTCGTTGAGTTTCGGCATGGCAGCTATTTTAACGGCGATCTCTTTAAGATCGGTCGATTCTATGTTGAAAGCTTTCGCGAAGGCCTCCGCTTCCTGCAAATTTTAACGTAATGTTGGTTTAAAAGATTTTTCGAATCGGTGAAGAATCCAATCCTTATACCCTTATTAATAAACGAAGACTACGCTTGGATTAGTTACTCTATGTTTTGTCTCTGTCTATTGAATGACAACTGTCATTTGAGTGACATGAACAAAACACAGCGTAACTAATCTAAGCTTATTCCTTGTTTATTAATAAGGATGATAAGGCACAATAACACTTTGTGGTTAGCCCGTATACAGGTGCACGAAAGACTTTACTCGATTTGGGGCACCCGATACAATATTAACAGTTTTACTCAAGTTCGGGTACTGGAACACGTTCAAGCGACCCGCGTTCTTTACCCTCAGCACGAACCAATATCGAATTCGAATAGTTTGCGAGTCCGAAATGTCATTGCCAAATGTGTACTGATTTTTAGTTCTCAATACGTACTTTGTGGCGCTGTTGTTCAAGTTTCCATACAAAATTTGACAATGACAATTCGTACTCGCAAATTATTCGAATTCGAAATTGGTTCGTACTAGGGGTATAAGGTTACTACTGGTTAAAACGTACCTCAGTGATGCCAGATTGGAGGGAACCAAAACGGATACGGGCGTACTGGCAATCGTATTCGGGCTAGCGACCAAGTGTAATTGCGCCTTCATATCTTATCCTACTTATATTACTGTGAAAGTTTATATGTTTCTGTGCTTGAATGTTCTTAAATTATGCAAAAAAAAACAACTAAATGGATTTGGATGAAATTTGGTGCACATATAGTTTATGACCTGGACAGGGACATAGGATACATTTTATCCCGAAAACATGACAGGTTCCTGTGGGATTCCGAAAAAACTAGAATTAATGCGGACAAAGTCGCGAGCCGCTAGCATTATATAAAAAAAAAAGGAAAACAAGCAAAGGTCTGCAGGAGTAGGGTTACCACGCCCTGATTAATCCGGACACGTCCGCACTTATAGATTATAGTCCGGACTTTGTCCGTATTTTTAATCACATTGAATATGAATAATAAAAGAACATATTGATTTAAAAACCATTGTAACTAAGTGAGTAATGGTACCATTTTGTGACTAAAAAGTTTGGACTTTTTTCGAAATGTTAGGACTTTTGAAATTCATAAACCCATTTTGGTAACCCATGCAGATGTCGGTTAGCTAACAATCGACGGATAATGCGAAATTAATGCGATCTATTGTGACTACGGATGCAAAGTCTTTTGAAATATCGATATTTATATCGAAGTCTGGAAAATATCGATATCCGATATATCGACCATTTTAACTCGATATTATCGATATATCGATATTTTTTCTTTTTTTTTTGCTTTGTATTAAGTTTGCAAAGCAAAAACCTAAAATTAAGGAAGCAAAGGTTTCCGAAATATCGATATTTATAATGTGGGCAGGTAAATATCGATATCCGATCCGATATATCAGCCATTCCAACATTTCCAACACGATATTTTCTATATTTTTCATAGCGCTGTAAGAAGTATCAAATCAAAAGCAATTTCGAATCAAAGATATTTATTTTGTTTAAAATATTTGCACGCAGCCAAAATCAGAATAGATAATCATATGAAAAGCAATTGTTATGAATTAGTAAAACCCACACATCAGGCTTTAGAATAGGGTAAGCCCAAAGCTTCCAAAATTTCTATACCTATCTTACTTTCTTGACTTGGCGTGCTTAAAAATTCTACGATTTGTATAAGATTCTTGATTTTATTTTGTGTTATATTACAATGATATTAAATTTCAATTAATCAGTAGTTGACAATCACTAGAAAGAGAGGCAAAGATTTTATTTAAGTGCATGAGTTACCATTAGGTATACGATTATACCGATTCGAGAGTGTCGATTCTGGCATGATTATCTAAATTTAACATCAGTCTCTCCTTTTCATTCTGTATTGAAAATGACAAATTTAATTTTAGGTTTAGAGAATCATGCCAGATCCACACCAGTTTAGTATATTTCTTGGGGTTCAAGATTTTTTTAATACATCTATAAGCTCTTGCGATTTCAAAGCAATAGTTACTTCGATATTATTCAATTTACAAAGTCATAGCAGGTGTCTCTTCTTTGGACATAAATGAAACTCCGTAATGTGGTAAACGTTTGTATTTCAATACTTTAACATGAAAAATCTAATTATTTTATAAAGCTAGTACGTCGCCATTACGTGAGAACAATGTGAATGACAAAAATCTGAAGGTAGTGTAAAAAGTAAAAAGTTCCTATGAATTAAATCGCTTTTGAGTCCATGGGAGATTGCTGCTGTCGAAACGCAGGCGCGAACATCCTCCCGCCCGTGGAAAGCTCTGGCTTTCAACCTTGAGTGTGATCCAATGAGAGTAAGGGGCACAGTCGAACTAATGGACGTCGCACGACTCCCCTTTGAGTCTTTACATCAGCGACTCTTGATATATTGTCAGAGCCAGGAAACAGTTTGTGGATGCGTCCAAGACGCCAACATAGTGGAGGTAGATTGTCTTCTTTCAGAAGTACCAGATCACCTACTTTGGCATTGGCTTTGTTCACTCTCCATTTACTTCTCTGTTGGATTTCTGCAAGGAATTCTTGCTGCCAGCGTCGCCAAAAATGCTGATGGATTTGTTGAAGGCGCGCGTAGCGTTGCAAGTTATTAGAGGTGTGATCTTCCAATGCTGGTGCCGGTAAAGTTGTCAGAGCTCGACCAATCAGAAAGTGACCGGGGGTGAGGCAAGAAAAGTCGTCGGGAGAAGTGGATAGAGGACATATGGGGCGACTATTTAACACAGCTTCTATTTGGGCAAATAAAGTGGACAACTCCTCAAAAGTCAAGTGCGAGTTACCCATGACACGCTTGACATGGTATTTTGCCGACTTCACTCCGGCCTCCCAAATTCCTCCAAAATGAGGAGCGTAAGATGGCAAAAACGTGAATTTGACATTTTCTTCGACCGCAAATTCAAATAGAGATGATGCATGAGTGTTTAAAAATATATTCAACTCCTTCGCGGCAGATACAAAATTGCGTCCATTATCGCAGAAAACCTCAGCTGGTTTACCGCGCCGTGATACAAATCGTCGAAAAGTTAGTATGAAAGCGTCCTTTGTAAGATCACTTACAGCCTCAAGGTGTAAACACTTGTATCTGAGGCATACGAACAAGCATAAATAGCTCTTTACTAATTTTGCACCTCTGCCTTTCCTATTTAAAGTGAGAAAAGGTCCAGCGAAATCTATTCCCACAGATCGAAATGGGAAGTCTGGCGTGACACGCTGGGGTGGCAAGTTGCCCATCATGGGCTGTAATGTTTGTTTGCGCAGCCGACTACACTTAACGCAATCGTGCACTGTCTTTCGAGCAAGACTCCTACCATTGATTGGCCAGATATATTCGCGTACAACACACAGCAATAACTGTGGACCGGCATGTAAATTTCGCATATGCTCGTATTTGAATATTAATTTAGTAAAATTGTGAGAACCTAGCAACAAAATTGGGTGTTTTTTATCATACCCTACGTTGGAGGCCTGAATCCTACCACCGACACGAATCAAGTTTTCGTCACTAAAAAAGGGTGACAAAGATAATATTTTCGACTTGTAACTTGGTGGTTGTTTTTTAGCTAGTAAGTCATATTCTTGCTTTAAACATTGCTGTTGTGCAATACGACACAAAGTTATAAACGACTTTTGTAGTTCATCAATGGCAAGTGAACCTGAGTAACGATTATTTGTATTTTTGATATTGTGTAAAAATCTTAAAACGTAAGCAAAACAACGCCTTAGCTTAGTAAAACGGGCATAGTTTTCAAACTTTATGAATGGTTCCTCTATAGTAGACAGATTGGCTGAAATGGCGTTCGCTTTAAGCTCCGGCAAATCTTGAACACTCGGTTTCTCATTTAGTACAGGCCATACATCTTCAAAGTGTCGTAAAAATTTTGGACCTGACCACCACAATGAATTGTCTTTAATCTGAGTAGGGCTCAAACCTCTCGAAATAAGATCTGCTGGATTAAGAGATGTTGGCACGTGATGCCATGATAACCGATCAGTCAAATCGCATATTTCCGCTATTCTGTTTGCAACAAAACATTTTAAATTACTGGAACTGCTGTGAAGCCATCCCAATACTATGCTGGAATCGCTCCAATGCACTTCGCGTGTGACTTCACACCGTAGAGATTGCCTTACTGATTTGCACAAACGAGCTGCCAAGACAGCAGCACAAAGCTCTAAGCGCGGTATAGTTGTGGGCTTAATCGGAGCCACTTTAGATTTTGAGCAAAGTAGATGAACAGTGATGTCGTTATTAGAGTTTATAGACCTCAAGTAAATACATGCTCCAAATGCATGCTGTGATGCATCACAAAAGGAGTGTAGCTCCACTGTCAGCGGCTCATCGCATAGAACTCGTCGCGGTACTATTATTTTTAACAGTGTTGGTAAGTCTTGGGTAAAATTATTCCAGTCCTTTGCGATATTTTTGGGGGCTGGCTCATCCCATCCCAGGTTAAGCATCCAAAGTTTTTGTAGTAATATTTTGGTTGAGACTACACATGGGCTTAACAATCCCACAGGATCAAAGATTTTAAATAAATTTGAAAGTATAGAACGTTTTGTGGGCTCCTTAAGATGGCCAAGCTGTTGAACTTGAATTGGAAAATGTAATGTATCGCTGGATGGTATCCACCCTAATCCTAATGTGCTCGAGGATTCACTGAAGGTTAGCTCTGTATTGAAATTGATGTCAGTAGATTTAAAAATAGAAGGCATGTTAGTTTTAAGTTTTCTTAGATTAAAGCAACCTTGTCTGAGCTTGTCGGAAATGCTTTGAAGTATGTAGATTAAATATTCTTCATTATCACAACCGGTGATAAGATCATCGACGTAAAAATCGTGTTGTATTATAGTTTTTATATTGAAATCAGAACACTCCTCTCCCAATTGCCAGAGGCAGCGTGTGCTCAAATAACTGGAACTTGCCATACCGTAAGTAACAGTATTCAATTTGCACGTTCTGATAGGCAAGGACTCGTCTTCCCTCCATAATATGAGCTGTAAGTCGCGATCTTGTTCCTGAACTTCTATCTGGCGGTACATCTTCTCTAAATCGCCAGTAAGTAGATATTTATGTTGCCGAGCTCTTACTAAAATAGAGAAAAGGGAATCCTGTATATTTGGGCCTATCATAAGAAGATCATTGATAGAAAAACCTGAGGTGGTGGGAGCCGAGCCATCAAACACGACTCTTATTTTTGTTGACTCACTGTTTGTTTTAAAAACTGCATGATGACTCAAGAAGTAAGAAGTGCTGGGATTTGTATAAGGAGAAACGGACAGATGACCTAAATCAGCGTATTCCTTTATAAATTTGACATATTGTTCTTTAATGTCTGGATGCTTGCGAAATCTACGCTCTAAATTTAGAAAACGCCTTTTGGCCACAGAATAAGAATCACCAAGAGAATTGGGTGAGTCCTTTAGTGGTAATCTGACTGAAAATCTGCCAGACTTCAAACGAGTTGTATTGGCCAAAAAGTGCTCCTCGCATGCCCTCTCGTCTTCGCTCAAAGGGCACTTTGGCGGAACCTCTTCAAGTTCCCAGAACTTGGTTAATTGTTGATGAAAATCATCTTGAATCATAGAATGGTTACACTGTATGTTTATCGATTTGCCTTTATTCGAATTTATTGGACCTGAGATAAGCCAACCCAACTGAGAGCTTCTGAGAACGGGCTTATTTGGACCCAATGACCGTTTATCACAGCCAAGTATATCCCAGAACAAATCTGCGCCGATGAGAACCTCAATAGCGGCGGATTGATTAAAGTTAGGGTCAGCTAACTGAATATTGTCAGGTATATGAAGTTGACGAATATCAATATTGAATTTTGGTATGGTGCCTGTCAGCTCTGGAAGTACTAGAAAGCTTGACGTAATTGAGTATGTACTAGTTAAAGATTTCAATTCGGCAACACAAGCCTCCTTGACCTTATTAGAGGAGTTGTTGCCGATGCCAATAATATTTATAAGATTATTTGAATGGTTTGGAAGTGATAGGTCGTCCTTAAGGGACTGACTAATAAAAGATGACTGACTTCCACAGTCTAAAAGCGCACGTACACCTTTTTTATTGTTGGTGACGGGATTGATAATTTCTATGAATGCGGTGGATAATAAAACTGTTTTAGAGCAATATTGTGAGAAATTTACAACGCTATCGTTAGGTACGGAAGAATTAGCGTCAGTTGGCTTGAGTTTGTCAGGTATGTGCAGGAGAGTGTTGTGCCTACCCTTGCATTCACGACAAGGCCCGAGACGGCAATATCGAACCGAGTGTCCGGATCTTAAACAGTTTAAGCAGAGTTTAAGTTTATTAATATTTGCAATTCGGTTTTGTACACTTTTGGCCTTGAAGGAAGGACAATCGTATATCCTATGATCCCCATGGCAAACTGCACATGCTTGTGATGTAGAACTTTGATTACAAACAACAGACTTAGTTTGGGGGTGTTCGAATTTATTATTGGAACTCTTTGTGGGGGTCGTTGAAAATTTGTTAAAATTATTTGAAGGACATCGCAAAAGAGATCCAAGCACATCCGCTCGATCGATTAAAAATTTATTGAATTGTTGTAAATTTGGTATCTCTTCTAAAGTGCCGCGCCATTCCTCCCATTTCGTGAGTGTACGACTATCCAACTTAGAACATACTATGTGTATAATGAGTACATCCCACTTATCAGTGGGGAGACCTAAGCCGGACAGAGCTCTCAGGTTCTTAGTGATATGATCCACCAAAAATCTAATCGATCTGTCAGACTCACGAGTAATTTGTTGTATGTTTAATAATGAGTTTAAATGATGACTGATTAATTGCCTCTTATTGTCATACCTTTCACATAATAAGTTCCATGCTGTTGCGTAATTAGCACTGGATACCTCTAAGTTTGAAATAATTCTAGAAGCATCTCCCTCCAAATAGGAAATCAAATAATGAAACTTGTGTATGGGTGCTATACGTTCATTGTTATGTATAATCGACAAATATGAGTCCCGAAAGTCTAACCAGCGGAAGTAAGCACCGTCAAACTTTGCAATTTGTATCTGCGGCAATTTGAAGGGAACCTCTTCGTTATCAGTACTAAGACGAACAACAGACCTATTGCTAGAATTCAGATTATCATGGGCTGCATTAGTTTCACTCTTTGCCTGATAGCTTTGAATAATATTTTGAGCTGTGGCAATGTTAGTAACAAAATTCTGTTCAATATCATCTCTTTCATCAATTTCTGCTAACAACGAATCAGAGTTTAATACCTCTATTTGACTTTGCAAGTCGTCGAATTTATTAAATAGTGATTCAAATCTACTCAACTTCAATTTTAACTCGGATAATTCAAACGACCTTAATTCATCCTTAGAACGGATTTTCGCCAAAAAATTTTTAAACTTTGTAATTCTACCTTTAATAGAACTTCGCTTAATAATTAAGTACTGTAACTCTTGATGATCATTGTCACTGCCTTCTTCACCTTCCTTGGTCATTTTATAATAAAAATTGAATAACTTTGTGTGAGTACTGAATATTAACTGCTATTACTTAGTCGATAACAGTGAAGAAAACAAGACAATTGAAAAAAAAATGAAAATGCTCACGTTCCTTAATGAGGCCGGCTTGAATTCAGCTTCTATTATCACCTTCACTTTATTGATTTATTCCAAATTTTATTCTGTTAACTCTGCTGTTGCTGTTTAAACTGTTGAGAAGTTGTCCGTGTATAGATATTTCCATAAGCTGAAATGTTCGGCAAATCTCTTTGAAAATTCACATAAAAACAAACTAACAAAATATTACTGTTATTAAAAGAAAGACAATCTCTTCTTAGCAATATGTCTCGTTATTATTTATTGATTTGATTTTGTAGCTGTACTAAAGTTAATTTTATCAAAGTAATTTAGAAGAAATAATTATGCTTTTATATGACTCGATTTATTTGTTTTATTATTTATAGTAACAAAACAAAACTGCAATTAATAAGATGTGTAATTTGGTTTTTGTAAGAAAGTAGGTATGTTATGGCTAAATAGAAACGGTAATGTTCATTATAATAAGTTAATTAACTAAAGCTTTATATTACATATGTTTTATTAAATACTATAATTTTACGGAGTTTTTGTTAAATAGTATAATATATAGGGAAATGGGATGATGGAAAATTGGATATAAAAGACAAGGAAAGTCACTTAGCTGCATTGGCCTGGCTGCGGCACGATGATTTAGTACTAATTGTACTTAGTTAATGTAATCATACACCGGCTTGACTGCAATGGCTTATTTTCTTTCCAAACTTTGTCGAATAGTATGAATCTTCGTATCTTCAATAATTAATGATGCAACTTCTTGAAAACGTGGCCTTATGGCACCAACCACTGTAGGTTATATAGGATGCCAATTTTTCCAAAATATATCGTCCTGTCACGGTCGCCACTTTTTATGTCTCTTCTTTGGACATAAATGAAACTCCGTAATGTGGTAAACGTTTGTATTTCAATACTTTAACATGAAAAATCTAATTATTTTATAAAGCTAGTACGTCGCCATTACGTGAGAACAATGTGAATGACAAAAATCTGAAGGTAGTGTAAAAAGTAAAAAGTTCCTATGAATTAAATCGCTTTTGAGTCCATGGGAGATTGCTGCTGTCGAAACGCAGGCGCGAACAGCAGGTAAATTAATTGATACTATTGTGTTCAAATTTCGTCTACGAAATATCGATATTTTGGAATTTCCGATATCGATATTATCGATATCAGTGAATTTTAAATATCGATATAATTATCGATATTTTGGTCTCGATATTATCGATATTCCGATATATCGTTGCAACCCTAATTGTGACCCAAATTGTAATGACGATAGCTACACTCTCATTAACTGCTGGAGTTACTCACCGCTTCATTCCCGAAGAGTACATCCACGTAGGGCAGTAGTTTCTCCAGGGGTTCCTTGAAGAACTGCGACACGAAGGGCGCGCTCAGGTTCATAATGAACGTGTGATCGTTGGTATGAGCGTGAGTAGCCAACTGCCTGATCGATTCCGGGGACACTGCCACGAAGAAACCCTGCAACCAATTACTGATACATGAACAAAAACATTGAGCTCGGCTGCGATCGTTGAAGTTAAGCAAACTTTCGCAGTGGTCGGTCATTGGATGGGTGACCGAAAATCTTCTATCTCGAGTTCCTCAGTGCTTCGGAAGGCACGTTGACTGCAGATGCAGCCGGAACCAACGGCGCAGTCGTTAGCACCAGCCAATCCGCACTGGGCCCGCATGGTGAGTCGTGGCCCAATCTCCCTATTCCATCCGTAGGGAAGGCCTGTGCCCCAGCAGTGGGGACATTCATAGCTTGATGATGATGATGAACAAAAAAATTTTATGTAAACCTGTAGGATACGAGCTTTTTTTGTCGCCATAATAAAAACTAGAAGAGGTGTTAAAGTGCGGAACGAAATGTTATGTATTCCACATAAGTGGTGTACACATTAAGCGTTTTCCAACGCGCGCTTTGCTAACGCGCGTTTCGAGAACCAGGAGTTCTATTGAAGTGTACACATGCAAGCGCGCGATTCTGGTCAAACGTGCGTCAAACGCGCGTTCTCATATTTTACGTATGATGCGCGGGCGTTAGCTGCGCGCTTCGAGATACTTGGGCCGCCATTTTGTTGTACATTTGATCGCGCGCTTTGGTGTAGTGTAGACGTCAGTTCAACGGAAAAATGGATACCGAACATTTTGACACAGATTTCTTTATTGATGAAATCGAAAAGCGACCAGCTATTTGGGACATGAAATGTCCCGATTATAAAAAAAAAAGACGTAAAATAAAAAAAAACGCCGTCTTTTATAGCGACGGTAGAGGAGCCACACACAAGTAATCACTTGGGCATCCATTTTCGGACTGCCAGAAACACACCCTACTAAACGCTCGCCGAGCGCCCAATGTGTAGCCGCCGATAGAGAAAGCTGCGTGCGTTTTGACACGAGTCAGTTGTAATAAGGCTACCATTGGTCGTTCACACGTTTGAAACCGAAATTAAAAAGAAGTCATTTAGGTCCTAAGTTATTAAAGCTGTTTTCGGAAATTATGCAGGCGAGTTACCAATTTAACGATTCAACACATGAGACAATATTTTTTTGCTGGAAAAGAAATTTTATTTACAAATTTTTATGAGGGGAAAACTTTTAAGTAATAGAGTTTATATTAAAACTAGCGGCCCGCCCTCGCTTCGCTTCGGTGTAGAGCTGAAGTGTAGACTACAGTTTTTGTTCTCAGGCTTGTATTATACACAATGAGCTTTATGCATGCAAAGTCTCAGCCCGATCGGTTTAAAATTGACAAAGTTTCATTTCCTATTTTATCCCCTTGGGGGTAGAATTGATCAAAACCCTTTCTTATCGGATGCCTACGTCATAACATCTACCTGCATGCCAAATTCCAGCCCGATCCGTCCAGTGGTTTGGGCTGTGCGTTGATAGATCACTATGTCAGTCAGTCACCTTTGAGTTTTATATATATAGATTAGATGAAAATTGATTCACATTCACATTCTTATTGTCATTGATGTTAGATACAGACAATTATACTAAAATGTTACATATGCCAATGTCATATGTCGACTTGGTAAAATAGGGCTGGCTTGGCTTCAGTTACAGAGCTTTTTAATAAAGATTTGCTCTCCGATGTCTCACAGAGGAAGAATTGCCAGAATTTTCAGCAGTCTTTTAATTTGGGTAGAGATCATTGTCACAAACTTCGATGAATGTATTACAGTTAGGGACAGAAGATTTTTAACAGGGGTGATGACGGGGTACAGTAAACGAAATTCTATTTAGTCCGTCAGTTAGATGATCAAAAAATAATGGACATGTATTTTTTCTTTGGGCAATCAACCATAAAATAAAGTTATAGCGCGTCAAAGTTTGGGAGTAGGGGCTCGTGACGTCACTTTTTAGTGAATTTTCACTTAAAAGTGTACTAAACGTGACGTCATGCGACTTTTCAAATCAATATATCTCTGCAATGTTTATACTATGTGAAAAAAGAAAATATACGTGTCCAATACTTTTTGATAATCTACCTGATAAACGAAGAAAGAAAACGTACATCTACCCGCAATTACTTCAGTTACTCCGTGATCATGGCGCTTGCAACAGTGTCGAAATATCGGAGCCTCATAATAAAAAACAAGGTACATAGTAACAATCCCGTTAATAGCTATAATGTTAGTGACCATGAAAGTTTAAAACGATATGAAGAAAAAAAATTTGTCATCATCCCTATTCGATGTGTGCGATGGGACCGCGCCCGACCAAAACATACTCACCGAAGCGTAGAAGAACTCCGCCGCCTGTATGCTCCTCTGGCACTCCTCCTTGGCGAGATGGTCCTCCGTGAACTTCTGCGCGGCCGCGAGGTTGGCGCACAGCGACCGGTGCGTGCCCGTCACCAGTACCGCGCACGTGCCCGTGGGGGCCGCTGACGTCACCTGGTACAGAACGTTCACGCCTTCCGCGCTGCAGACGACAAACGGAGACTCATTTTATTCTTTCTTTTTTTTGATTAATTCTCCCTTTTAAGGGAAGGCAAGGGGAACAATGCCCATACAGCCTAATCTTAAGTTCAATTATTCTGTTTTTCTTTTTACATTAGAATGTCTGTGTGACGCATTCTAATGTTTCTTGAAGTGTTTGGCACGAAATGTATCGAGCTGGCTTTTTCGTTAAGCTTCTGTGAGGTAGTCAATACTACAATAAAATTCTCACTTCCACTTTACCGGAATAGCGTATATTTTGACGATTCTACTAATTCTCCAGTTACGCAGAAAGTTGTAACACAAAATCACACCAATTTTATTTTACAATATCCACTATGAACGAATTTAAGAATAATTAAAATAAGACGCCAACCACACTCGATGAAATCTCGCCAAAAACTCCCTTATTTTATTCTTTTGGAACGACGAGACGAAGGCGAAGGTTCTACGACGGACGGACAAATTTACCGTCACTATATCGCAGCACGAAACTCTAGCGCTGACCGTTATTGCGCAAAAGTAAAAATTAAGATGTGTTGGGGGGAAACGAGGTGCGCGGGTGGGCGTGCGTTGCGCCGATTGGCTCTCCAGTCGTACCCATGCGCTGCTATCCCTGACGCGTTCTGTTCAGCGCTAGAGTTAAGTGCCGCGACCTGTACCCCTAGCACGAACCATTATCGAATTCGAATAATTTGCAAACCGAAATGTCAATGTCAAATTTTGTATGGAAACTTGAACAGCAGCGGCATAAAGTACGTAACGAGAACTAAAAATCAGTACACATTTGACAATGACATTTCGGACTCGCAAACGATACGAATTCGATATTGGTTCGTGCTAGGGGTACTGTTCCTAGTGAGACAGCTTACTAGGCAACTAGCTTGGCAACTAGTTAGACGGGTAGCTAGATTAGCAGTGAGGTGGGCGACCGCAAACGGTTGTGGTTGTGCGCTAGGTTTTAAGTTTTGTTTGGTGTATGTTGGACCGGGAGAGCCCGCACTGGCCCCAGATTGGTGGATAGGATAGGTTACGTAAGGTCATTAGGTTTATAGGTTTTTCTTAATTTTCTTACGTACACAGTGATCTTGTACCCTTAGCACGAACCAATATCGAATTCGAATAGTTTGAGAGTTCGAAATGTCATTGTCGAATGTGTATTAATTTTTAGTTCTCCTTACGTCCGTAATGGGGCTGCTCAAGTTCCCATAAAAAATTTGGTTGGTTCGTGCTAAGGGTACAGTCCCCTTGCATGAACCATTATAGAATTCGAATAGTTTGCAAACAGAAATGTCAATGTCAAATTTTGTATGGAAACTTGAACAGCAGCGGCACAAAGAACGGAACAAACTGACATTTCAGACTCGCAAACGATACGAATTCAATATTGGTTCGTGCTAGGGGTACTGTTCCCTTAGCACGAACCAATATCGAATTCGAATAGTTTGCGATTGCGAAATGTCAATGTCAAATTTTGTATTAAAACTTGAACAGCAGCTTCACAACAGACGTAACGAAAACTTTACAGTTTACATTTGACATATATCTAGATCGAATTCAACTATTTAAATTCGATAATAGTTCGTGCTAAGGGTACAGCAATGAAATAAACTAACAAGGTAAATGTGGCTTTAACAAAAGTGTTTTATGTGGGTGTGTGGGTGTTAACTTATGAGTAGCTTAACCATAAGTTAAAGTAATCGCTAACATCTTTACGAACATAACATCTGTAAATTATGAGACCCTGTTGTGTCAATCTTGTGAGAAATTGCTCGTTGCTATAGCATAGCAACAAGCCAAGGTGTCAAATTGCTATGAAAATGGCCTCAAAATGTGAGTTAACTGTAGAGATTTCAGTTGTTCATGTAACCGTTTGAGGCGCTATTAATTATCTATAAAAATCGGTAATATTTAGAGAATAGTATTTGTAAAACTCACGGTATGCTGCTGTTGACATTCCTACTTTCCAAAAAGCCAAACTTGTATAATTAAGGTACAACGATACATAAAAGGAGGCGGAGGAGCTCCTGAGCCATGTCAGTAACGTTGGTTCTCTACCTAATTACATAGTTTAGAAACCTCAAAACAATGTCCAAGTATGGGTTTTCTATAGCTCATTTGAGTGGTATTAATTTTGATGAATTAACCCTGCGTGTCTCCGTACGTCATTACAGTCGTGTGAGGCGGGTCGTTACGTTCCCTAAAATATGGTTGAGCGAAGCGATGGCTGGTTCATGCGTCATGCTCGTGAACGGGTGCTGCCAGCGGAGATGAGTCTGCCCTAACTACTTTGATATTTAAGATGTAAATGTTTAATTACACCTATTATAAATAACTCTGTTTGTATTTATACTGTGTGACACAGCAATCAAAATGCAGGTGAACAATTAATGTATAATTTCACATTATGTAATGAAAGGTGACTTCATGAATCATCTCTGAAGTCATTTTTCAACTTGACGACTCTGTAAATGTAAAATAGGGAGAAAAAAACAGCCCTCGCTTAGTTTCTTGCCGGTTCTTCTCAGTACAAGGTCTCCCGCCGTAGATTTACGAACCGATGGCGTAGCTTCTAGACATTCATATGTGCTTGTAACAGCCTAAACTGAATAAATGATTTTGATTATGATTACAGTTAGACATTTTGGCATTTAATGTTATCGCATTAAGGCTCATGTTATTTAGATTTTGTATACATATTTTTACATGTACTGTACCAATAATGATTTGCAGTATTAACCAAATACAACGCAAGTCACACAACACTTGAGTAAAATTTTAATCAATACCAAATCACTTGATATCAATACTTTTATTGGGGTTATCAATGGTTTTATCGTGTATGATAATGCGTATTGGTTGTAAACACGATATTCTTACATGTATAAGCTTGCAGTCTTATCGCTCTGATTTTTAGTCCGTGTAAACGTAACTAATCACAGCGGGTGTGTGCTCGCGCATCAAACTGTGTATGTATTTAGTAAAGTATTATCTTACATTGTACAACTCATCACAGTTTTCTATAACAAGCACTATCGAAACTTAGGTAGATTACATACGCATTATGGAAACGGTTGCCAACCGTACGAGAATTCTCGTACAATTACGAGATTTCAGTACCCTTAGTACGAGTTTGAGCTCACGAAAACTATCATAGTTTTCGTAATTGTAAATTATGTTTCTATGTCCATTTTGGTGAAAAGTAACTAAATATTCTTAAAATTTAAGAAGACGCAAACGATTTAATGCTAGAATTTAAACATTGTTTATTTGTATTGAAACGAAAACGTACGAGTGATAACTCATGAAAACTATCATAGTTTTCGTAATTGTAAAACTCGTACTAAGGGAACTGGTCTTCCGTACGAGGTACGAGAACACTACACATATGTACGAGATTTTCTCAGATAAATATAGAACATGATTTTTCATTGTACAATAGTTGCAACATGTTGGAGCATAAACCGTTAGTATCCAAACCAGTATTTTAAGATTTAAGATGCCAGAGGTTTAAATTTTACTGGAAAAACATTTCTTTACAGTCTATGGTTAGTTTACCCTGGCCTATAAATTTACCAATTCTAGGGGAGGAGGGGGTTGCAAAAATGGTACGAGGTTCGAAAGCAAGATTACGAGATTTTTAGCTGCAGAAGTACGAGGAAAAGAATTATATGGTTAGCAAACTTATATGGAAATATCCTCTTCAGTGAGACACTGTCCAATCTCGGTTGCGATTGCGCAGCGCTTAACCGTATTTTCAGTCTAGTGCTATACATTTCTGATTGATGGCTCAGTGTCCTTAGGGTGGTATTTGCGATGGTATTTTGCGTAGCGTATGAGAAGAATTTTCTTTCCTTAATGTTTAAAGGATTAGGATTAGGTATTGTGTTACTTATATATGTGTAGTCTATGTATGTATGTGTCATATATTTGTATTATATGTATATATCTTATAGTTATATTATGTGTATATATTATGTATGTATGGTATGTACATATATTTAAGATATATAATTATATACATTTTTATATCCCTTGTTTTTATTTTTATTTTTTTATAACACCACCGATTCCAGTTTCTTTCAATCCTCTCCATCCAAAGGTTGTCTGGAAGAAATCGCTTTTAGCGATAAGACCGCCCCACAGTGTTTTATGGAACCAAAAAAATTTACACCTTAAGGTTTTTGTATAAATCAATTATTTATACACTAATAAAGGCAAGAGTTCAATTCCCAGATCACTATTTTAAGTAAAAAAAAAGATATGAAGTAGCAAAGTTTTTGAAATTTGTGCATGAAAAAATTAACAATTTAATTTCCTCAAAAGACGGTTCCATATCTGTCCATGAGATTTTTGCCACTTGCTAAGGAATTATTGAAGGCATAAATTTGGAATGTTTTTTTATTTATAAGTGTCCTAGTTTCCGAGAAATATATATTTTTTTTAATTTCGATTTTTAATTTTTTTCTCCAAAAATCGGCAAAAGTGGAACCTGGATTTAGTACAGAAAGGTTCTATAAGCCAAGTTCTATCACCCATAAAAAAATCAAGTTCCACTTTTGCGGTTTTAAGAAGTTATGACAGAATTTAGATAAAGGTCAACTTTCATGATCTAGGGTTGTCACAAAGGTCAACTATGAGTTAAATGAAAGTGTTATTTTTTTTGTTTGTTAATTAATACCGTCAATCAATTGAATAAAGTATATTATGTTATAATTGAATAAGTGTTGTACTTATAGACGAATACAATATACTTACATATACTACCTACCTAATGTAGATGTGATAATGTAGGAATACTTTATGTTTTAATTTTGACGACCACATTTTAATTTTGTACCTTACACGCTAAACGGTAACGAAAAAATAAACTATGTTGTTTGAAAAAAATTAACACACATCCTATACTATAAACGAGCAATTATTGTATGTACCTATATAAATATATTGGTATGTAATTGGTTTCTCGGAAACGGATCTAAC